GCCTACTTCAACACGAGTGCAAGTAGGTGCTCGATAATTGTACTTAATACTATAATAATGTGTCTCTGATTCCCTCTAAAGCAGTGGTTCTCAACCTTCCTAATGCCGCGACCCTTTAATACAGTTCCTCATGTTGTGGTGACCCCCAACCATAAAACTATTTTCGTTGCTACTTCATAACTGTAATTTTGCTACTGTTATGAATCGTAATGTAAATATCTGATATGCAGGATGTATTTTCATTGTTACAAATTGAACATAATTAAAGCATAGTGATTAATCACAAAAACAATATGTAATTATATATGTGTTTTCCGATGGTCTTAGGCGACCCCTGTGAAAGGGTCTTTTCTTAATGCCGCGACCCTTTAATACAGTTCCTCATGTTGTGGTGACCCCCAACCATAAAATTATTTTTGTTGCTACTTCATAACTGTAATTTTGCTACTGTTATGAATCGTAATGTAAATATCTGATATGCAGGATGTATTTTCATTGTTACAAATTGAACATAATTAAAGCATAGTGATTAATCACAAAAACAATATGTAATTATATATGTGTTTTCCGATGGTCTTAGGCGACCCCTGTGAAAGGGTCGTTTGACCCCCAAAGGGGTCGCGACCCACAGGTTGAGAACCACTGCTCTAAAATGTGACTTGTTAAGGACCATGGCCCCATCCAGTTATTTATTTATTTTTTTTGCATCAATACCCACCCAGTACAGAACCTGATACATAAGCATTCAAACGTTGATTGAATGACTGAGTTAATGAATGCTGTTTGCCCCCAGAGTCTGGCAAGGTTAGGAGGAAGAAGGATATGGCAATTGCTACTGCCTGAACTGTGTGCTTTAAATTCATGGAAACCCTAGTTAGTACCTGTGAGTGTGACCTTATTTGAAAAGAAGATCAAGTGAAGATGAGGTCATTAGGATGGGCCCTAATCCAGTTTGTCTGAGGTCCTTAAAAAAGGGGTAAATTTGCACACAGACACACGCACAGGAGGAGAATGCCATGTGAAGATTGGAGTTATGCTGGGGGGCAGGTGGGAGGTGGGGTTCAGAGCTACTCACCCCAAGATGTGCCTCAGTGGTATGCAGATGAACCCTGCAGGCTCTAGAGCAGCGGTTCTCAACCTGTGGGTAGCCACCCCTTTGGCAGTCGAACGACCCTTTCACAAAGGTCGCCTAAGACCATCCTGCATATCAGATATTTACATTACGATTCATAACAGTAGCAACATTACAATTATGAAGTAGCAACGAAAATAATTTTATGGTTGGGTCACAACATGAGGAACTGTATTTAAAGGGCCAGAAGGTTGAGAACCACTGCTCTAGAGAAACTCCTGCCTCCCAGCTCCACTACCTAGAAGAATCTCAATCAGGAGCCTGACCTATGAAAAGAGTTATCACCAGAAATAAGTTTTTAAGTATCTGTATGGTAGGGCCAACTGATAAATTACTGAACATGTGCTTTCCTCCTCCCTGCAGTGACCTCCTGAAGCCCCAAGGTGCATTGCCTCACCCCAGCTCAGAATATTCCTTTTCTGTCTCTGAGCCTCTTGTGCATATGGGGTCTCTGACTCTCACATGTACGTGGGATTCCCATACATATGTACGTATTAAATTTGGTTATTTTCTCTTGCTGTTCTGTCTCATGTCTATCTGACCATCCAAAGAAGCTTGAGGGTAGATAGAGGAAAGTGTTTTCCGCCCCCACAGCTGCAACAGGGCCAGGAACTATGTACTCAAAGCTAAGGGAGCAGCCTGGAACAGATCCTTTCTTATTGCTTACTGAGGGAGGGAGCATGGCCCTGCCAGCACAGTAATTTCAGACTTCTGGCCTGCCTCACTGTGAGGCCATAAATGCCTGTTGTTCCAAGCTACTTGGTTACTAGCAAATTAATAACAGTAATATAAATTCAGTCATCTAGTGAGCCAGGATGTCTGGAGAGTATTCCCTACCCCGGCTTTTGTTGTCGCGTAGAGGACATAGCATCTTTTCCTTGGTTTCTTAAGAGCATTTAAAATTATGTGTGAAAACTCTTTGTTCACTAGAAACTACTAAACAGTTGTTTTTAGCAATGGGACGAGCTTGGGCAATTACCATTCTGAGGGGTCCATGACCTATACAGAGGATGTTGCATATAGAGCTGTGCCCTCGCTTGGATTGCCTCCTACTCCAGGGCCTTTTGTACTTTTAAAAATACAGTGTTTCTCATTTCATTTTAGGCAGTTTAAAAGTAAGCAGATTGTGTCTAAAGACATTAAGAATTGTTTTCAAGCATCCAAATGAGACAGTGGGAGGTAGAGGAAGAGAATATTGATTTGTGTAGAGTTGACTTATGATGTTCATTCAATGAAGATGGATTTTTTTTTTGACAGCTGCATGTGGGTGGGTGTGTAACTTTCATTTACACATCTAAGTGCTAATTTATTATAAAAGTGTCAGTATTGTTAACTGAGCACTTCTCAAAGACTGAAGGGTTTTTATGGCATATAGACGGTTACTTTAATATATCTTTATTAAATATACTAGAGGCCCAGTGCAGAAAATACATGCACAGGAGTGAGGGAGGGTGTCTCTCAGCCTGGCAGTCGGACATCCTTCTCGCAATCTGGGACGCTGCATGCACCAGTGACCATACTTTTCATACAGGTGAAAGGCGCCTTGCTGTTGTATGGGCAGCTACATTTTTTTGCCCTGATTATAAAAAGTAGTACATAACATGGTCCTGAGGCAGTAGTACCATTTTCCCCATCTTCTGGATGGAAAAACTGAAGCAGAGAGAAGTTAAGTAATCGGCTTTGTCACACAGTTATAAGTGTCAGAATCAGGGCTGACCACAAAATGTGCAAGCCAGAGTCCATGCATGTGATCGCTGCCATCATCCTGTTTTTTCAGTGTTAGAGTAGCCTTGCCAGGTTTTAATTTTTAAATCTAAGAGACTGTTCCCAATATATAGGGTAGGGTCCCTAGGCCTGGCTGGTGATCAGGGCCAATCTGTGGGGAGACTGGCTGGTGGGACAATTGGGGGAGGGAAGGGCCCTGCTGGCACCTGCCTTGGTTGGAGGCCTGGCACTGCACGCTGGCCGGCCCTGCCCCCTACTGCGCGACCGGCGGGGCGATCTGGGAGGCCCCTGCTGGCACTCGCCTCGGCTGGCCTGGGGCCTGTGGGCTGGGGGCAGCTCCTCTGTTGAGCGTCTGCCCCCTGGTAGTCAGTGCATGTCATAGCGACTGGTCATTCCACCAGTCGTCCCACCGTTTGGTCAATTTGCATATTAGGCTTTTATTATATAGGATATGACTTATTGAGCACCTACTGTGTTCCAGGTTCTTTATATATGTTATTAACCCTCATAATAAACTTTTGAGGCAGCTTATTTTTATTTAATAATAATTTATGCCCACTTTGCTGAAGACACTAAACCTCAGAAATACAAATAAGTAGTAAAACTAATTGAAAAACAAGACAATTTCTGAATCTAAGCTCTTTCCTCATCATATACTATTCCTCACTGACTGACACCACCACTCCCCTTATTTTTCAGAGTAAGTATGTATATCTATATATATAAAAGCCTAAGCGACCAAACGACCAACTGACCTGCCGGTAGCTATGATGCACACTGACCGCCAGGGGGCAGTCGCTCAACATAGGAGCAGAAACCACAGGCATGGAAACATGGAACAGACTGATGAATCTCAGAGGGAACTGAGGAGGGGGAAGGGCGGGAAGAGATTAATCAAAGATCTTATATGCCTACTAGAGGCCCGGTGCACTGGTGGGGTCCCTTGGTCTGGCCTGCAGGATCAGGCCCAAACCGGCTCTCTGACATCCCCCAGGGGTCCCGGATTGTGAGATGGTGCAGGCCAGGCCAAGGGACCCCCACCGTTGCACGAATCCATGTACCAGGCCTCTAGTATAAATAAAATGGGAGCATAGTCAGGAATCTTGGGAAATTCTGGTTGGCTCCAAATCATGGTGGTAGAAAGAGTATGAGACTGGGTTATATCTCAGCTCACCATTGATTAGCTCAGCAATTGTCAACCTTTTTTATCTCACGGCACATATAAACTAATTACAAAATTCTGGGGCACACCAAAAAATATTTCTTTTGCCAATCTGACCCAAAAAATAGGTATAATTTTGATTCATTCACATGGGACAGCTCTTATTGTGTTGCTGTTGTCATTTTTTTATTTGACAATCTAAGGGAAAAGAGGTCAGTGCCCCTGGCTAAATAGTCAGGTATTGCATGTTTTAAAAATTCTTTTAGCACAGTGGTTAAAAATTGCTGGATTCATTAGATTTGATCTTTAACAAATCACCTAGGCTTTTTTGACCTGATTAATTCATCTATAAAATGAGCAGACTGAACTATAACTTCTAAGTTTTCTATTTTAAAATTCTGGGATTCTGTGAATACAACCCTGCCATGGGCTCAAAGTTATTGAGGAAGAGTTCTATTAAACATTCTTTTAACTGCCAGCAGTGTTAGGAATATCAGTATCTCTTTGATTTCATGAGCACCCTTGATAGAAGTGTGTCAGCCTCTAAATTAAAAGCCTATAGTCTCTCTTGACTCCATCTTGCAGAGGTGATTGTTGGCATGTGTTTTAAACACATAAGTAATGAAGGAGTGGACTATGTGATCAGCTCATTCAGTCTTGATATAATGTGAATATTAGGCTGGTAGCTCTTGGCTGAGGGACTGTCAACACTAGAGTCTTTGGGGGATTGAATTTAAATGTGTTAACGGATCACTATCTTATATTTTTATTTATTTACTTTTTTATTTATTAATTTTAAAGAGAGCGATGAAGGGGGAGAGAGAGAGTGAGAGAGAGAGAGAGAGAGAGAGAGAGAGAGAGAGAAAGAGAAAGAGAAACAGTGATTGGCCCCAAAATCCAGGCATGAGCCCTGACCTGGAATGGAACTGGCAACCTTCTGGTGTATGGAACTACATTCAACAAACTGAGCCACCCTGGCCAGGGAAGGATCACTATTTTTTTTAAAGGTAAGTTATGAGTCTCATATCAATATGAAATGAACACATGTCAGATATTTTGCTTCACTTGTTTCACTTGTTAATAATAAGGGAATCAGTAAGATGATGCAATGGAAAAAAAGAAGATTCCAAAGAGCAGTTACATGTCTAGGCCATCCAGAATGTTAAAAATTAATTCACTTAATATATGCAAAACTGGCTTCTCCTCATAAGAGCGGCTTGGGGAGGGAAATCAATTGCACTTTCACACGACAAAATATATTTGCATGTCCATGGACAAGACTCATCTGCATTGCTCTCAATTATATACAATTTACAGAGCTGTAAAATAGTCCAAAGATAATGACAGGTAGTGAATAACTTGAAGGGTGCACTAAACAAGAGACCTAGTAATCTTTTTTGCCAATCTCTAAGTCATTCATAATTTCTGTCCCTTTTTCCTCAGAGAGGTCTTCCCACTTGCCCATTCTAAAAAGGGCCTCTTCTCTGTCCCTATCATGGTTCCCTATTTCCTTTCCTCATAGCACCAATTATGATACGTGGTTTTTGGTTGTTTGTTTATTTATTATGAGTAAATCTATGCCTGCCTCTACCCTAAATGCAAACTCCAGGAGGGCAGAGATTTGGGTCTATCATGTTCTTCATTTCATCATTAGCACCGTGCCTCTGTGCCTGGTAGCACTGTGCCACCGAGTAGACGCTCAATCAGTGTTCTTCCAGAGACCATGGTAACACCCAACTGATCACATGGACACGGCACTGCAAGTCAGTTACCAATTTATTGTTTCTCAGCTCCAAATCTACTTTTCATGCCTTCTCTTTAATAGAGTTAGACCCTGTAAGGATTTCTCCTTTGCCGCGGGCACCATGTTAAATGCTATCAGTGGAGAACGCTGGAGGGACAATTCAGGAGGAAGGGGCCTCTCTTCTTGGTGCTGTTATGCTTTGTTTTCTTGCTCCAACTCCACTGCTGCCAGAGGCCTTTGGGTGAGGACACACTGGCCGCTCGCTCCTATCAAGTGTCAGTGGCATTCCTGCTGGTGGATTCCCGCTAGGTTTTGCAGGCATTCCAGCAGGCAGCTACCCTGCCTCAGCCCACCTCCATTCTGGCCAGGCGTTTCCTTTCCTGTGGCCATTCCCAACCATGGTCTTCTTCCCACTGGCCTTGGCTTCAAGACTGTAGATCAACTCTGGGCCAGGTCAACTTCGTTACCATCCACTAGCCATCAGATCCCACTCTTGGAGATGACCTCTGTCACTCCCCTCCCAAGTTTGTCCTTCCTCAGGTACTGTCTCCATAGTTCCCTTTCCTCCTTTATAATTAACTAGGGGCCCAGTGCACGAATTTGTGCATGGTTGGGGTCCAGGCAACCCGCCCCCATTGGGGCTGATCAGGGGCGGGGCCGGCCAGGGGAAGGGGATGCCAGTCCCGCCCCCTGGTCGAACTCCCAGTCAAGGGGACATTTTGCATATTAGCCTTTTATTATATAGGATAATTCTTTTTATGAACATTCCCTGTTGGATTTGCTCTGTGGTTTCTGTCTCCTCATTGGACACTGGTACAATCCATTAACGATGTGCTTGTGAACACTTGTCTTGCTTGTTCTTACCCCTTTTCTTGACCATGTGCATGTAGAAAGTGCAAATAGTTACAAATGTGGCAATATGACATTGTGAAATATTAGCAGATGTTTTCCCCCACAGATCTTTTTTTTGTCCTGTGACCATCCCCATTCAGGTCATTGGATGGGAGTCCCCTGTTGCTTCAGAGGGACAGAACTAGAGGACAAAGGTAGTCCAGCATTTTTGTCCTAAATTCAAGAGTCTTGATCCAGTTGTAAATCAGGAGAAATTTGCTGCTCCCCACTCCTCCCCCCAACATTGTACAAACATTCTCTAAGCTGGAGTGGACTATGAGTGCAAGGAAAATAAGATAGGTAAGCCCTGGTCTTTTCTAAAGAAAAGAATACCTCATTCATTCACTTAATACATAGTGTGGGGTGTCTTAGTCTGTTCACACTCGGAGGCCAGGGTGTCCCAGGCTGCCAGCACTCTTGGGCCAGAGAACTATAACAAAATACCACAGACTGGGGTGGCTTATAAACAACAAAAATGTATCCCTTATAATTCTAGAGGCTGGAAATCCAAGGCCCTCGGTGTCTGATGGCATCCCTCATAGGCAGGGCCACAGGAAAGTGGTTTGGGGACTTCCATGAATCAGCCTCCAGATTTCAGATGGGGAACTGACTCATCTCTTCTACTCTCAGAACACCCCAAGCTTGGGTAGAAATCTGGAGCTAATCCTAAATAAGGGCAGGTGAGATAGTACCCAAAATACTATTAGTAATACCCATATCCATTGGTCCTTAATATGTGCCAGACACGGAACTACTATATTAGACACTATGCTATGGACCCTTGCTACAGGATTTAATTTTCACAACAGCCACACGAGATAGATATTACTATTCCTGTTTTATAGATAAGAAAACCAGGGCCCAGAAGAGTGAGGTCCTCATAATTTGCCCTCCAAAGTGGAAAAGGCAGGAAACAAACCCAGGCTCTCCCCACTCTAAATGCTGTGGGTTGCCCAGCACGCCTGGTTGCCTTCACTGCACTGACACGTGGGTGCTTTCACACAAGTGCAAAATAAGGACTGTCAGAGCGTGGGGGAGGCTCAGTTCTGGGTCAGATGGATCCAGGGAGACTCTGTGTGGAAAGTAGCACTTGTGCTGGGAAAACACTTTTTTTTTTTACTTTAAAGAAAGAAAGTGAAGGATTCCAAAGGAGTAGACGATTGTGCAACATAAAGCAATATATTTATTTAAAATGTTCATGAAATAAGGTTAAGTATACACTAGAAAAAAGTTGACAAATATAAATTGAAAACTGAGTGAGGAGTGAGAGAAATCTGGAGGGGTATTTGTTATTACTGCAACATCAACACAGCCTGTTAGTATGAAAGAGGGCAGGAATGGGGAAGTAGGGCAGAAGTATGGTGGTGAATTGTGCCACATATTACTGAGAGCTATTGATGTGTCTCCAAAGGGCCCATCCCCAGTGGTACTTGACCATTTGGTGAGGAGTAAACCACCCACTCCTGGGTTGTTGTATTGAGACAATAGCACTTGGAGAAGGATCCCGGTAGAGAAGTGGACTTAGGAGTTACTTTATAAGGTAACATGGCCAAAAAGGACCGCTAGGAACTCTCTTAAAAAACAACAACAACTCACTAATGACAAGTATTATGAATTCAATGCAGAAGAAAGAACAATGCTTCTGTACTTAAAGCTAGATTTTTAAGTAACAATATTTAGCACTCAACACTAAGGCAAGTTAGAAGAGGCAGACTATACAGTACATATAGGGTGGGGGCAAACATAGGTTTACAGTTGTGAGTACGTGAAACGGAGTTTATTCTTGTATTACTCTTTATTAACTATTGTATTATTTTCCATAAGAACAACTATAACCTAATTTTGCCCCACCCTTTATATGCTCCTGTGTAGTGAAAATGGGCACTACCCAACCGACTACTTCCCTGGCCCCCACCTCTCAGAATCCCTGGAAAACAAAGTTGTCTGGGACTGGTGATGCCACCTGGTGGCTAATTCAAGAAGTACAAGCAGTTCCACAAGAATTCATGCATATGTTCAGAAAAATCTCCATTCTGCAAAGAAGCATAATCTATCTAATCTAATAATAGACAAACAGGGTAATTGACCATACCTTTGCTACGCCTCCCATTGGCTAATCAGCGAGATATGCAAATTAACCGCCAACAAAGATGGCGGTTAATTTGCATACATAGGCGCAAAGCGGAGCAGCGAAGGCACTGAAGGCGGCAACAACTGGAGCAGCAAAGGCCTGGGTGCCGGGTGCCGGAGGAAAACCGGTGCTGGCAGCCAGGGGAAGGGAAGGCCTATTACACGAATCTTTTCGTGCAACAGGCCTCTAGTATATATATAGAAGGCTAAGTGACCATCCAACTGTCTGACCGGCTGGCACAGATGATACACACTGACCACCAGGGGGCAGATACTCAACGCAGGAGCTGCTGAGCTGCGGTGACTTGGCAGAGGCAGTTCTGGGGTGACGCACCCCAGAACCAGAGAGGAGGGAGTCCGATTCCTCTCAGGACCTTGAGATTCCACTTTTGGCTGTGGGTAATGTTGTTGCTGGGGCACTGTGTTCGAAGAGCATGTGACGTTAAAGTTAAAGTTGTAAATACTTCATCACAAGTGAAATTAGTCTAGTACTCTGAAAGCTTTTTTACTCTTAATGTGGTATACAAGGAGATATTAGAATAAGTTTAATCAATTTATCAGTCATTGTTTTTATCAGTGTTGTTTTTATATCATGTCTTTGTTGTTGTTATATCCTGTTGTTTTTGTTTATTAATCAATTTATATATTATTTTCATATACATTTTACTAATTTTCTTTCATCTCTGACACTTCTATTATAGAGAAAGTGTGAATAGCAATATTAAAATATTTCTTCTAATTAATTTTCTTTCAATGTGCACAAATCCATGCACCAGGCCACTAGTTAAAACAATAAGGCTATAGAAAATATTTGGTTGAGACAGACCACTTAAAATGTATGCAACTTAATAACTATGCCACCAACAAAAAAATAACCTAATAAAATTGCAGTTAAAAAGAAAAGTTTAATACCTGATAAATAAGTAATGAAATATAGGGATTTATCTTTAAAAAGTGAAGCTAGCTTGATGTAAATGGGTATAAGACAGATTGAGGCTACTGATTCATGGAGACAGAATTCAATAACCAAAGGTCAGGTAGAATTCCACCTCTAAGAAGAGAACATGGCTAGATCTAGACAAGAGAATAACGGGATGACTCATGGGTATTCAATACTGGACTGTATTCCTGTGTGGCTTGCTGTGTTCAGCTGTCGTTACTTAATGGACCAAAGTGGAACACATTTATGGAACAAGTCATTGACCTATTGGTAAAATTGCGTATAACTGAACACAACCTTTG